TTTTTTTTTTTTTTTTTTTGAGACAACTTAGGCTGGAGTGCAGTGGCATGATCATGGTTCACCGCAGCCTCAACCTCCTGGGCTCAAGTGATCCTCCTGCCTCAGCCTTCCAAGTAGCTGGGACTACAGGTGTGCATGACTGGCTAATTCTTCTATTTTTTGAGGAAATGGGGTCTCGCTTTGTGGCCCAGGCCGGCCTTAAACTCCTGGGCTCAAGCAATCCTCCCAGCTCTGTCTCCCAAAGTCCTAGAATTACAGGTGTGAGCTACCACACATGGCCAGTTTGGGGTAATTGATACCATAATCTTGAGACCTAATATTGTGCCTTTGAATCCAGTATATCTCTGCATTTACAGATCTTTCCTTGTTTTTTTTTTTTTTTTTTGCAGATTTTGTTTTCAGCATGCAGATGTTGCAAATATTTTGCTAGATTTATGCTTACTCACTTGATACCTTTTTTTTTCTTTGAGTCAGTCTCACTCTGTCACCTATGCTTGACTTCAGTGACATGCTCATAGCTACTGCAGCCTTGACTTACTGTGCTCAGATGATCTTTCCACCTCAGCCTTCCAAGTAGCTGGAACTACAGGTGCGCACCACCACGCCCATCTAATTTTTTTTGATTTGTTGTAGAAACAAGGTCTCGCCAACTTGCCTAGGCTGGGTCTCAACCCCTGTGCTCAGGCAGTCCTCTCACCTTTGCCTCCCAAAGTGCTGGGATTACAGATGTGAGCCACTGCATCTGGCTCATTTGATACTTTGTATGCAATTGTAAATAATACTGCTTTTAAAATTTCCAATTATTCATTGTATAGAGTTAAAATACAATTTATTTTTATTGTATTGCCCTTGTCTTTTGTGACGTTTGTAAATTCACTTAATCTAGGAGCTTTTAGAAATTCTTCATCTGTGACTAGAAACTTATTTTTTTCTTTTGACTATATATTCTTTTAGTTTCTTTTTTTTTTTTTTTTTTTGCCTTATCACATTGACTAGGACAGCTAGTAAAATATTGAATAGAAGTGTTGATGTTGTACATCCTTGCTTTGTTCTTGCTTTTAGGGAGAAAGCACTGTCTTTCATCATTGATATTAACTGTAGAGTTTTTTTTGAGTAGATGTCCATTCAGGTTCTATTCCACATTTGCTGAGGGTTTTGTCATTGATACAAGTTGAATTTGGTCAAATACTTTCTCTGGAAAATGTTGCTAATACTTAATTTTTTGGAAAAGTTTTTAAAACATTTCTATGACTGCTTTCTTAAATGATTTGTAAACTCTTTCAATAAAAATATATGTGCTTGGAATTTTCCTTATTTGAAAATTTTTATCTTCTAATTCAGTTTCTCTTATAGATAGAAAACATTGAGGCATCCTCCTGTTTTTTCAAGTGATCCTCCTGCCTCAGTCTCCTAAGTAGCTAAAACTACAGGTGTACTATATCAGGCTGTTTGTTTATTTTTTGTAGAAACAAGATCTTGCTGTGTTGCCCACACTTGTCTTAAACTCTTGGCCTCAAGTGTGCCTTCTGCCTCAGCCTCTTAAAGTGCTGGGATTACAGGCGTGAGCTACCCCAATGTCATGTATATTAAACTTTCTTATTCAAACTTCAATATCTTTTACTGTCTCATGTTTTCTATCTTTGTGACTCTCAATGAAGCATTTGGGGTACTATCATTGAATATATTTTTCCTGTTCGTGGATTTTCTTTTTAGCTGTGATCTACTCCCTGACTCATTCGACAGGAGTTTTTTCCCTAGTACTTCGAGTTATAATTATATTTAGTAAAATGCCAAATGTAAATACTTAAATATCCAGCTTTACTAATTTTGACAAAGGTATACACCTGTGTAACCTCTATCTAAATCAAGTTAAGAAGCCTTTCCATTGTCTCAGGAAGTTTCTTTTTCCCACTTCAAATCTGTTAGAAGCCACCAACTAAGACTTTCAAAATAGTTGTATCATTTTATGCTTTATCTGTAATTAGAAGAGTTTCAGGCACTTTCCATTATTTCTAACACTTGGTTGGTCATTAAAAAAAATTTTTTTTTAGCTATTCTGGTGAATGTGTATTGCATTGAGGGTTTGGTTGATTTATTTGTAGTTTTAACAGAACTTTCATTTGTAGAAGTTCCATGGTTTTGAGTTTTTAAAATTTGAATGCTAAACTGTTGTTACGAACTTGTCTTAATGAATATCTGTTTTATTTTTTAAGAGACTGTATAGTCTGTTAACAATAGCTTGTTTTTTGATAATTGATAAATCTGCAGACTTCGTATTCAGACATTTCTAAGCATGGTTATAACAAAATTTTTACTTCTCACTTGTCACTAACTCATCTTAGTAACAGATTTTCTTCTCACTTTAATATTTATTTTCCCTATATGAAATATAAATATTCTAACTAAGAAGATCCCTTCCTTTTTATGATATTCCTCATTCTCTCTCATATGGTGCTGTTTGTCTTTCAGTTACATTACTGTCTTCAGTGATAAATGTGGAACCCATAGGGTTACTTCAAGGTGCCAGGTTTTGATATTACTTCAGAATTGACTAAGATTAATATATATGTTTTATGTATATGTATATATATGTGTTGTTGACAAGCTCAAATTTAGGCACACAGTAAAAACAGTGAAATCTGGAAAGAAATGACTCTTTTAAAGTTTTTCTTCATGACTATCTTAACAAAGAGTATTTATTTAAATTCATATAGTTTCTTTAAATGAATGTAGTAGATTAAATACTGTAGAATTTAATTTAGAACATGGGTATTTTGTTTTATGGTGTGCATTTCTGCTTGTCATGCAATTATAAGTTTTACAGGTTTTATTTTTGTATTCTGCTTTAGGCAATCCTTTATCACAGGATATTCTCAACTTATACCAGGACCCAGATGGAACCCGAAAGCTACTGAACTTCATGCTTGACAATCTTGCAGGTAACTGTTAGTGACAAAGCTGTAAAGTAATTTCTATAGATATGATTAATCAGCTTATATGGCGTATGCTGCTTAAGAGCATCTGACTGGTTTTTATAACTGCTTATAAGTTTAATACCTTCCATTAGTATATCCCATGGTAGTGGGGCATTCTTTTTTTCATATACTGAGTGCTTTCTATTGAGCAAGCAACATGTTAGGAGCTTTAGTTACACTACCTTGTTTAATCTAAGTGCCTAGGAGATAGGAATTTTTACTCACATTTTACAGATCCAAATTCTGAGATTCAGACACTAATTTATTTACACACAGCTAATTGATGCCAGAGCTATGTACTCAAGATTGTCTTGCTCACAAAGATATACAGTTATTAGTTTGAATTTGATTCAAGTTACTTGGAACTCATACATTTACACATTTTAATGAATGAAATGACTAGTTTAATTCATTTCACATTTATAGAAATTTGCAAACAGGCTTTAAATCAACTTAAAATAGTTATATTCCAAATACAAGTTTTCCTATATAAGGAGCTTATTACGTATTTGACTTAAAACTTTTTTTTTGCATAAGCACTCAGAATATGGGTAAAAATATGAAGATAACTACAAAATGCAAACATTTTTCTTAGAATAGTGTCTTTCTAAAATATAGAATTCTGGCCAGACTTGGTGGCTCATGCCTATAATCCCAGCACTTTGGGAGGTGGAAGTGAGAGGATTGCTTGAGCCCAGGGATTCGAGACTAGCCTGGGCAACTTGGTAGGACCTTACCTCTACAATAAATACATTTTTAAAAATTTAGCTAGGCATGGTGGTGCCTGCCTGTGGTTCCAGCTACTTGAAGGCTGAGGTGGAAGGATCACCTGAGCCCAGCAGGTGGAGACTGCGGTGGCCATGAACATGCCACTGCACCACAGCCTGGGCGACAGAGTGAGACTTTGACTCAAAAAATAAAATACAGAATTCTGAAACAGAGCTAGAAAAATCATAAGTTCCAGCATAGAAACTATCACTATCATTTTGACTGTATTCTTTAAATTCTCTTTATCATAAAAGACCCCTCTTTAACACACACATAAATTAAGGTTTACAGTGGAGTAAAACCAAATCAAAATCCTCTAGAAAGTTTTTGGCTAGGCCGTGCCTAGTGGCTTAGCCTGTAATCCCAGCACTTTGGGAGGCCGAGGCAAGTGGATTGCCTGAACCTGTGGGTTTGAGACCAGCCCGGGCAACTTGGCGAGACCTCATCTCTACAATGAAATTATAAAAAAGTTAGCCAGGCGCAGTGGCGCGCACTTGTGGTTCTGGTGGCTTGGAAGACTGAGGCGGAAGGATTGCTGGAACCCAGCAGGTTGTCGCTGGGTTGGCCGTGAGCATGCCACTGCACTCCAGCCTGGGTGACAGAGTGAAACTCCAACTAAAAAAAAAGATATTAAAAAAAAAGTTTTTGGCTAAAAGACTAAAGGTTGATTGATGGAAGAGAAACAGCAAATGTATTAGTGGTCTTTTTAGTAAGAAATTAGGAATATGTGGCTGTTTAAGCTGTATACATATAGCATGTGTATGCCGCTTATAGCTTGCTTTAAAATTATCTATATAGATGTAGCCAGATGACCAACGCATATGGCATATGTGCTGTATATGTATATAAATTTTAAGAAATTCTTTTTGTGTTTTAGATATAAACTTTTTGTAGGAATCTGTGTTGCAAATACCTGCTCTCATACTAGTTTTTACTTTTTCATTCTCTTTGTCTTTGATGAACAGAAGAATGTTAACATACTCGATTCTATTTTGTCAATCTTTGCTGTTATGGTACTGCTTTTGTATTCTTAAGAATTTTTCTCTATCACAAGATCATGAATATATTCTCCTTTGTTATTATCTAGACACTCTTGTAACATTTAGAGCTATACTCTTCCTGGAATCGATGTTTGTGTAGGATAGGAGTTAGGTTTCATGACTTTTTCATATGTTTATTATATTGATTTTGAGCCATTTATTTTGACTGCCCTTTTACAACCGGTTTTTAGTGGCATCTTTGTCATAAATCAAGTGTTAGTGCATGTTTTGGTCTGTTTCTGGATTCTCCATTCTCTTCCCTCAGTCTTTTTAAATACAGACGAGGTCTCGCTATGTTGCCCAGACCGGTCTCGAACTCTTGAGCTCAAGCAATCCTCCTGCCTCAGTCTTCCAAAGTGCTGGGATTATAGGTGTGAACCACCGTGCCCGACCTCTCTCCCATTCGTCTTTATGGCAATGTAACAATGTCTTTTTTTTGAGTTGAAGTCTCACTCTGTCACCCAGACTGGAGTGCAGTGGCATGCTCCCGGCCACCACAGCCTCGACCTGCTGGGCTCTGGCGATCCTTCTGCTCAGCCTTTCAAGTAGCTGGAACTACAGGTGCACGCTACCACGCCCGGCTAATTTTTTTTATTTATTGTAGAGATGAGGTCTTGCCAAGTTGCCTAGGCGGGTCTCAAACCCGTGAGCTCAGGCAATCCACTCACCTGGTCTCCCAAAGCACGGGATTACGGGCTGAGCCACTGAGCCTGGTTTAACAATGTCTTTAATTATAATAGCTTTACAAAAAAGTCTTGAGATCCAGTAGAGTAAATCTTCCTCTTTGATCTGATTCTAAAGAGTCTTGGCTAGTTTGGGCCCCTTTCTTCTTTTATGTTTTCAGTCAAATTTTTAGAATCTGATTTTCAAATCTCTTCCCTCTCCAGAATGCAGGTATTTCATTTGTGAGTGTATTGAACCTACAGATTGCTTTGGAAAGAAAGGATTGGTGTGTTTACCACCCTGGGTCCTATTCTTCCATTTATTTTGCCTTCTATAATTTCACTCAAATTGAGTTTTAGGTTTTTGTGTCATGGTCTTACCCATTTTATATTCTAAACATTGACTCTTTCAATTCCTTTATAAGTAGTCTTTTAAAAAATAAATCTTAATATTTTAATGGTTGTTACTGATTTATGGAATGGAATTGTGTTTTATATATTTTTTGGTATTCTACCCTGCTAAATACTTGCTAAATGCCTTGCTAAGATGCATATTCAGCCACTTTGCTAAACTGGTTTTTTGTTTTGTTTTGTTTTTGAATCAGAGTCTCACTCTATCACCCATGCTGGAGTGCTGTGGCATAATTACAGCTCACCACAGCCTCAAACTCCTGGGCTCAGGTGATCCATGTACCTTAGCTTCCTGAGTAGCTGGGATTGTAGGTGTGTGCCACCATGCCTGGCTAATTTTTAAATTTTTTGTAGTGATGAGGTCTCACTATGTTGCTCAGGCTGTTCTTGAACTCCTGGGCTCAATTTATCCTCCCACCTTGCCTTCTCAAAGTGCTGAGATTGCAGGTGTGAGCCACTGCACCTGGCCTGCTAAACTGGTTTTAATCCTACTACATTTTTATTTCAATTTATACAATCATACTATCTGCAAATAGCAATAATTTTACTACTTTCTTTATAATCCTTACAGTTTTTTTTGCCTTCTTGTACTTATTGCACTTCCCCTAACCACCAATAAAATGCTAGCTGAAAGTGGTGATAATGGGTATCCTTATCTAATTTTGTAATCTTTTAATTTTACTTTATGATTAAGTATGAGGTTCACTATAGTTTTTATGTTGACAAACTTTATTAGATTAAGGAAGTTTTTTTCCATTCACTTGCTAGGAGAATTTTTAAATATATAAGTAGGTGTTGAATTTTATCAAATGCTTTTTCTCTATTGAGATGAATAGATGATTTCTTCTTTTATTCTGTTAATTTGGCAATTGATTGTGTTTTGTATGTTTTACCACCTTTATATTCCTGGAATAAACCCAAGTAGGTTATGATAAATTGTTATTCTTTTTATATATCCCTTGATTCAGTTTGCCAGTATTTTATTTATGATTTTTTGCATCTGTGTTTATGAGTGAGATTGGTCAACAGTTTTCTTTCTTCAATGTCCATGTCAAGTTTGGATATTAAAGTTATACTGGCTTCATAAAATTTGTTGAAGTATTTCCTCATTTTCTGTTTTTTATAGGAGTTTATTTAATGTTAGTTTTATTTTCTTTCTTAAATGTTTGAGAGACTGTATTTGTGCCTGTGGGGTTTTTTTGTAAGAAGTTTTTAATTACTGATTTAATTTCTTCAGTAACTATAATACTGTGCTGATTTCCATTTCTCTTTCTATGAACTTCTGAAAGTTGTATTTTCTGGAAATTGGCACATTTTATCTAAATCTTCAAGTTTATTGGCATATGAGAATATCTTATGTTTTCGTGTTCATAAGGTATATATCACAATGTCTCTTTTCCATTCCATAGTTTATTTGTTTGCTTCTATTTTCTTCATGTAAAGTTTTGCCCAGGTGTTTATCGATATGTTATTTGAAAAGAGGAACCAACTTTTAGCTTCATTGACCCTTTTTATTATGTGTTTGTTTTAAATGTCATTAATTTCTTTTATTTCTTCCTTTCTCCTGCTTTCTTTGTTTCATTTGCTGTTCTTTTTCTAGCTTAAAACAAACACACCTAAATCATTAGCTTTCTTTTTTTCTCCAAAAAGCAAATAGTCTTTCTTTTTTTCTCCAATATATTTATTTATAAATCTCCCTTTAAACATTACTTTTTAATGCTTTCCACAAGCTTTAGTTTGTATTATTTTCTTTGTCATTCATTTTCAGCATATTTTCTAATGACCTTCATCATTTCTTCTTTGACCTGTGAATCATTTGGAAATTTATTTATTTTCAGGAGAGTTCTAGTTTTCTTTGTCATAGATTCCTAGCTTAATTCTATTTTGATCAGAGAACATACTGATTGATTTAAAATTTTGAAATCTGTTATTTGTTACCCCATACATTCTTGATTTTTATAAGTTTAAGTTTGTACTTGAAAATAGTGTATTTTCTACAGTTCATTTCAGTATTCTATATATAGTAGATTGTTAGTTATATTGCTTGAATGTATTATATATGTAATGATTACTTTGGTTTTATTTATTACTAATAGAGCTGTGTTAAAATCTACCATTTTGATTGTAGGTTTGTCTTTCTTCCTGTAATTCTTTCATCTTTTTATTTACATATGATAAGGGTATATTTTTATGTGTTTTATATTCCTGGCTGTTTAAATCTCTTATTGTACTGCTCTTTTCTTTAATATTTACTTTGCTAGTAGTATATCTACATGATAAAGAACATTTACATGAGTTCACTTTTGGTTTGAATTTGTGTTATATATCCTTTTCTGTTCTTTCATATATAACCCTTCTGAATCCATATATCTTATTTTTTTCCTTCTGCTTGCTTTGGACTCTTTTTTTTCTAGTTTGAAGTAGCAACTTAGATTATTAATTTGAGATCTTTTCTCTTTTTTAATACAAGTATGTAGCACTATGAATTTCCTTCTTAGTACTACTTTAGTTGTGCCCCTCAAATTGGAATACAATGTTGTGTTTTCATTTTTATTGAGTGCAATGTATTTTTAAATTTCCTTTGAAACTTCCTTTTATGACTGATGGATTATTTAGAAATGCGTTGTTTAATTTATATGTGTTTTACGGTCTTCCTGTTGTCTATTGATTTTTTTAAAAATTCCAAGTTGGGACTAATTAGATAACATACTCTGTATAATTTCAATTCTTCTAAATTGTTGAGGTTTGTTTTATGATCCAGGATTTTGTCTGTCTTGTGAATGTCCATGGACTCTTGGAAAAAAATGTATATTCTGTGGTTGTTGGATAGAGCATTCTATGAATGTAAATTAGATCATGCTCGTTGGTGGTTGTATTTAATTCTTTATCTTTTCGAATTTTTTAATCTAGTAGTCCTATTAAATTCTGATGCGGCAGCATTTAAATTTCCAACTATAACTGTGGATTTGTTTATTCTTCCTTTCATCTCCATTAGTTTTTGCTTTGGGTGTTTTGAAGATCTATTGTTTGGATCATATTTGGTACATACATATTTACATTTCAGTGGATTGATTATTTCATCAGTATGTAGTGACATCTGTATTCCTAGTATTCTCTTTGCTCAGAAATCTACTTCATTTGATAGTATAGCCAATTTTGCATTTTGAAATTTTGCATTTTGAAAGTTACCATGGCTTATCTTTTTTCATCTTCTTTCAACTTTCTTGTATTGTAATGTTTGATCGGAGTTTCTTTTAGTTAGCATATGGTTAAGTCATGTGTCAGTCATGTTTTTTTTTGAGTTGGAGTCTCACTCTGTCACCCAGACTGGAGTGCAGTGGCCGCTCCCGGCCACCGCAGCCTCGACCTGCTGGGCTCCGGCGATCCTTCCGCCTCAGCCTTCCAAGTAGCCGGAATTACAGGCATGCGCTACAACGCCCGGCTGATTTTTTGATTTATTGTAGAGATGAGGTCTCGCCGCCCAGGCGGGTCTCGAACCCGCGGGCTCAGGCAATCCACTCAGTCATGTTTTTTATTCACTCTGTTAAGATTCTGCTGTCTCTTAATTTCTATATTCAGAAAATACTAGATACCTTCACTGAGCACAATAGATATTATGATTTTTGCTTAAACCATCAAATATGACTTAAAAAGCTCATGAGGATAAAGATAATATATTATATTTACCCATCCCTTGTTTTTTCCTTTTTTGATTTTTTTTAATACAGGAAATAAAAAGAAGTTACTTTTTATTAGTTACTACTGTTACAATTTTCTTTTCTATTTGGAGATTTCTTTAGCCATTCTTTTTATTTTTTTAGAGACAAAGTCTTATTTTGTCACCCAGGTTGCAGTGCAGTGGTCGATCATAGCTCACTACTGCATCAGGCTCAACCTCAAGTGATTCTCCCATCTCAACCTCCTGAGTAGCTAGGACTACAGGCTATGTTACTCAGGTCGATTTTGAATTTCTGGCCTCAGGTGATCCTCCCACTTTGGCCTCCCAAAGTGCTGGGATAACGGGCATGAGCCACTGTGCCTAGTCCCCTGATAACCACTCTTTTTTTTTTTCACTATGAAAACGCTGTAATTATGTATGTATAGCATGTGATGTCAAGACAGGACAGCAGGTACACACAGTAAGACGTGGCTGGACAGGCCTTTAGCCATTCTTTAAGGGCAGGTCTGCTAGCAATGAAATCTTCATTTTCCTTCATTTTTTTCCCCTTGATTTCTGAAGGATAGTTCTTCTGAACGCAAAATTTGCAGTTGACAGTACTTTCCTTTCGACTTTGAGAAGTGTACCACTTCTTTGAGTTTTTGTAGTTTTATAAAAGAGACCTGATATCATTCAAATTGCTATTTCTCTCTGATGTTTCTAGGGTTCTTCCTTTAGTTTTCAGAAGTATATTTATGATCTGTCTTGGCATGTATTTCTTTGAATTTATTATACTTGAGGTTTGCTCACTTTCTTGAATCTGTATGTGTATTTCACATAAATTTAGAAATTTTCAGCCATTGTCGCTTAGAATACTTTTTCAGTTCCATATTCTTTCTCCTCTCCTTCTGGAACTTTGATTATTTGGATTTAAACCTTTTGTTGCAATTCCACAGGATTTTCAGGCTCTGTTCTCTTTTTTCAGTCTACTTTCTTTTTGTTGATATTGAGTAAGTTCTCTTGATTTGTTGTCAAGGTCACTTATTTTATCTTTTGTTATCTCTATTATGGTACCATTCTAATAAGTTTAAAAATCTTGGCTATTGTATTTTTCAGTTTGATAATACCTATTTAGTCCTTTTTTTAAAAGTAACTTTTTATTTCCTGTATTAAAAAATTTTTTTTTCATTTGTTTCAAATGAAATGTAGTTTTGTTTTTTTTTTTGCAGCTTTATAATGGCTGTTCTAAAATCTCTATCAGGTAATTTCAGCATCTGATTCATCTCAGTGTAGTGTCTATTGGTCTTCTCTCACTTAAGTTGTGACTTTCCTGGTTCTTGGTGTGATCAATGATTTTCATTTATACCCTGGACATTTCAATATTATGTTAGATGACTCTTGATCCATTTTAAAATCTCTGCACTTTACAGACAATTGCCCGGTTTAGGTTTAGTATGTAGATCTTGTTGTCTCTTGCAGGAGCAACTGACACCCCTTCTATAGGCAGATCAGACCCATTGCTGCCAGCCAGTGTGAGGTGAGGGGTGGGTTGGCTCTCTCAGACTCTGCTGTAGATGTTATCTTTGACAGACTGGGTTACCGGTATATTTACTTTATGTGATAGTAGCCCATACAACTTTTTATTCCTTTCTTTTATCTTATTGTTGGTCATGCAGTTTCATCTTTAAAAAATTAATTTTAAATCTGTGTCTTACATGAATATATTATCTGCAAATCTGAATCAAGTTGTCTAGTAATTTCAAAGATTTTTAAAAGGAAAAGTAAGGGGGAAAGTTAAATCTTAACTTAGTGACTTTTTTTCATGTGGTAGTTGGGTAGCATTTAGTTTCATGATATTGATAACATATCTGAGCAATTAATGTTTTAACAAGTGGCCTTTCCTTACTATTATCATCATCATCATCTTCATTATTTTTGTGCAGTGTAGTTCTATCCTTATCTCTTGCTTTACATTGACATTAAAAGAGAATAAAATCAGGAAATGAAAGTCTCATTAATAAATGTGTTACTGTTTATTATACAAGGGGGACCCAAAAATAACCCAGAATGTATTTATAAAAAACTGTGTATTTATTCTTATATGTTTAAACCTCAGACACCTTCAAAGTATTCTTTGATGCAGTAAACCTGTTGAGACACTTTTTCCACTATTCAAAACAGTTTTTGAACTCATCATATTTTGTGCCTTTTAGTGTGTCTGCTATTTTTTGTTTTACCTCTTTCACATCGGCAAAACTTTTCCCTTTGAGGGCTTTTTTAATCTGGGGAAACAAAAAAACAAGTCGCTTGGGGCAGAATTGGGTGAATAGGAATGGTGGGACACAGGGGAAATGCCATTTTTGGTCAAAAACTGATGAACACTCAGCAGTGTGGGTAGGTGCTTTGTCATGGTGGAAGAGCCAGTCACCTGTTTGCCATAATTTGGGTCGTTTCCTCCACGAATCGTGATGCAGCCTTTTGAAAACGTCCAGATAAAAACTTTGGTTGTTGTTTGATCCAGAGGAACAAATTCTGAGTGTTCTATAAGGGGCCTGCCCTCCAAAAGATAACGCTGATTTTTTGGGAAGGTCTTCCCTCATATATTTATATGTTCTTGTTTATTTGTTTTTTTTAAAGATGCTTGAGTGTTAATTCATAATTGTTGGAATTTCACATAGCTTTGATTTCTTAGCAGGGAACAAGGCTAAGTCAACACAATTTACCTATGTAATGAAGACCTAAAACTTTAGTTAGGGTTTTAAATAGGCACCTTTTCAAAAATACTGTGTAAGTGAAAATGACATTAATGAGTTTTCTAATGTTCTTTTCTGATACTAGTTTTATATTCTCTGCACAGCTCTTTTATAATTTCCTTTGGCTTCGTCATTAAATTTCACCATTTGATTTTTAAGTTTGTGGGCCATTACTGCTGGATAGAAAACAGAATGATTTGAAATTATAAACTAGGTGATGCTGATTTTTAAAACATGTGAAATTGACTTACATTTACAATTTTTCTTTTCAGTTCATCCTGAGCAGCTTCCTCCGAGGCCATGGATTACATTAAAAGAACGAGACCAAATTCTGCCATCAGGTAATCTTTCTCATTTTTCTTGACTTTTGTCGGAAATACTTAAAATGCCATTTGGGCTTTGTAATCTGTAATTAGCAAGCCTTCATTTTACCTCTCCTGAGTAGATGAGTTTTAAAATACTGATGGGTAGACTATAAAAACTCCACATTAAAATAGGCCTGTGTATAGATATTATATCTTTCACAGTAGTGCAGCCCTTGGTTTTAAAATTATTCTTGTAATACATCTGATAGCATCTTCATATAGGATTGTTTCATATTGGGTTGATTTATGATTTAAGAAAAATGAGTAATAATGAATTTTCTTCTGAAAAATTTTAAGCTGCTGAGGTACATTATCATTTTTTGAGAGAGAGAAATCACATTTATGGAAGAATAATTTAGACTGAGTATAGTTTTACTGTGTCATCAACAAAAGGTGGCATCAGTCCACGGTTACAGAAATAGCACAAGGTGCATATTTGGAGCAATAATATAAGAATGTAATCTAGCATTTCTAGAACTGTGGTGATATAGAAAATATAAGCATTTATCTCTTTGTGGGGACCAATAATGGTTTGACATTTAGAGGGTTTCTTTAACTTATTCAATATTTTAGGTTTGAGAATTCTATTTCAAATAAGTTATGAATTTTTTTCTAAATGCTTTTTTTAAATAACAAGAGTAATAATTTTCATGATACCCAATTTCATTTTTAAATTAAATGAAAATTTTAACTACTTCAATATAAAAGTTAGATCTCTCACAGAATACTGTTACCTTAAATTCTAACTGCAATTTACCCTTTAAAAGTTATTATGTACATTTTCAACAATATAAAGCCCTTCTGTTGGCTTAATTTTTTTAAGCTAAGAAGTAATAGGATTCAAAACAAATAATTTGTTTTCATACTGAGACATGTGAGGTATGCAACCTCTTCATAGTTCTATTTTCATTTTAATAACACTGAAAAGTATTATAATATACAGTACTTTTTTGTGTCTTTCAGACATAGTGATTTTGAAACCACCACACTCTATAGCCATAGTTTCATACTGTTATAAGAGGCACAATTTTATCACAAATAGCATTTCTATTACCAAGATGCACATTGATTTTTTTTTTTGTTGTTTTTTTTGTTTTGTTTTGTTTTTGAGTTGGAGTCTCACTCTGTCACCCAGACTGGAGTGCAGTGGCCGCTTCCGGCCACTGCTGCCAACTTGCTGGGCTCTGGCGATCCTTCTGCTCAGCCTTCCAAGTAGCTGAAACTATAGGCGCGCACTACCAAGCCCAGCTAATTTTTTTTTATTGTTTATTGTAGAGATGAGGTCTCGCCAAGTTGCCCAGGTGGGTCTCGAACCTGCAGGCTCAGGCAATCCACTCACCTCAACCTCCCAAAGCGCGGGATTATAGACTGAGCCACCGAGCCCAGCTAACATTGATGCTTTAAGTAAAAGGAATGCCTTAGATTTTCTACAAAGATAGATTTATTTTATATATGTCCTTCCCTTCTGATATTAAAAATGTCATTTTCTAGTTTTTTAAAGTAATCCACTTTTGAACATGGGTGAACATAATCTTCAAGAAAAGCTTTCCTAATATTGCAAGCTACATTTTCATTAAGAAAAGAAACAATAGAAACCAATTTTCATTAGTTGCTGAATTCTCAAAGTCGTCTCTTTGGGCTTTCATAATGAAAAACTAGTGGGGGTTTTTCTTGTTATGTGTGGTGCTCCCCATTTCTCTGGATATGTGGAGCTAAAAAAAGTTGTTGGCTGAGGTGACTGGATTGCCTGAGCCCGCGGGTTCAAGACCCGCCTGGGCAACTTGGTGAGACCTCATCTCTACAATAAATCAAAAATTAGCCGGCTGTGGTAGTGCGCGTCTGTAGTTCCAGCTACTTGGAAGGCTGAGGCAGAAGGATCCCCGGAGCCCAGCGGGTTGAGGCTGTGGTGGGCAGGAGCGGCCACTGCACTCCAGTCTGGGCCACGAGTGAGACTCCAACTCAAAAAAAAAAAAAAAAAAAAAGATTTTTACTTCTGATGCATAGGAGGATGTATATAATAACTAGTGATGGTTAAGGGTGATTTATAGACAAAAAGTCATAATGATAAACTATGTAAGAATCAAGTCCAGATAGTGAAAAAGTAGATAGAGTACAAGAGAGTATTGAATGGCACTCAGCAAATTTTCACTTTGGTTTAAAAATTGTGGGTTCATTCTGAGGCACTGGCATTGATATAAAAAGTTTGGGCTATATTATAGAAATGGCAGTCTCTGCCCTTTTAAAATAAAATCTCACTTCACAAAGTTTTGGAAAAAATATGAATGAAGCGACTAACAATCTGCCTTACTTTTTTCTCCTCTTACTTTCAAATGACATTTTAAATCCAGAGAAGCAGAGTAAGGTAAACTCAGGGTGCTACCTTCACAGTGTAGTGGCTTGGGAGTGGTTTGCGGTCATTTCCAAGATAAATAAGAGAACACACATTAATCCATACTGAAATTTTAGTCCCCAGTGTATAAAATGGCCACCAGTCAAATACCCAAGGGACCACATACTAAGTTTCTTTTTCCCTTCATCTGAATCAGAACCAACTTCAGTCAAGTGCCACTTTATCTTGGATTCCTCACATTTTATTTAAATAAGTGATTCTCAACAGTGTCTATCCATTATGTCACCTGGGATGCTTTTTAAATAACTCTGATTCTAATCTTCTGGTTTAATTAGTCTGGAGTCAGGCTGTTAGTGTCAGCATTTTTTTTTTTAACTTTACAAAGTGATTTAATGGGTAGCCAAGATAGAGAATTACTGACAAAAATCTGGGCTTTTTCACACCTTAACATGCATATGCATATGAATCACTTGAGAATTTAGTTAAACTGCAGATTCTTTTCAATAGGGGTTTGTGGGACCAGAGCTTCTGCACTGCCAAATTCCCAGATGATAACTGATACTGCTGGTCCTTAGAGCATACTTTTTAATAGCAAGGGTATAAACTATCCTCTCCTGACTGTTAGTTTGCTCACAGTCCTTTTATAGTTCAAGGGCATTTTAAAATGAGAATTTTATTTCAGAAATGAACATTTGATTGGCAAAAAGATTCTCTTATAATTAAATTTTGTTAGTTCATATTCTTCTGCCTCAGAATAGTAAGATCAGTAAGAACTTAAAAAAGTCTTTTTAAAGTATTCTGTTAATAAGAAGTAATGAATTTAGAGTCCTTTAGTCAGAATGATACCAAAAGTTACTTTTGTTTCATTTATATCGAAAAGCTCTTCTCAGCATTTTACGTGCAAAAAACTAGCACTCTGATTTAGGTGTTGAATTTTTTATTGAAATACATTTTCTAAAAAAAATCCTCAAATATGAACTGTTAGTCTAATTCTAGATTAGTAAAAGAACTTTGGTATGATGGACTCCAATGATGTTTTATGAGATATAGTTTAACAAAATCTTAATCTTGCCTGGGCATTTTACAATGGTGATATTTGGGTTATGTATGTGTACTTGTGCAGGTGTACATGATATTGCTTTAGGAAAAAATTGCCTAATTTTCTCTCTTTTGTCTATTTTTTTTTTCTCCCACTTCTTAGCATCATTCACGGTTATGTGTTACAATGTGTTATGTGATAAATATGCTACCCGGCAGCTATATGGCTATTGCCCATCCTGGGCATTAAACTGGGAATACAGGAAAAAGGGAATTATGGAAGAAATTGTTAACTGTGATGCAGATATCATTAGTCTTCAGGTAACACCATAGAAATTAAATTGTCTTTAGTGTAAACGTAATCTTAAAAATAAGAAGATCTGACCTCTAGGAAAGATCCTGTGTTCAAAACAAAACTCAAAAGGAATTATTTTCTCTCCCTCTCTTAAAAGAAAAAAGGACAATTTAAATAGGCATATAAGACATTTCCACAGTGAAACTATTTTGCTGAGTACATCCATCCATTTACATTCATTTGCTGTTTTCTTAAGTGAAAATAATCTTACCCATTATGCTTGTTAATAATTCACCTCATGAGCAAATCATTGATATTGCTGAAATTTAAAACTGCAGAAGATTGCTAGTCTTTCAGGAATATAAATTTAACTTACAATGGAATCTGTTTCTTTAAAAAAGTGCTTGCCTACATTTGTTCCTTTAAGATGCACATTTATCAAGCACTTTTGCTTTTATAAGCCATCTCTGAAAAATCAGTCTTCTGTTTTATATCACTTTATTACAATTGAACTTAACTCAAGAAGCAGCTACTTTTTCATGAAATGTGTTTTATTGCTGCTTTTCAACATTTAGCTAATGATTAGACAGATATTTCTGAGTAAATTTTAGTAACTTTTTTCTCATCAACTTTCAAAGCATATTAAGTGCTTAAGAGTTTTTAAAGATTATGATCGACAATAATTTGATATATTTATGGGTTACAATGTTATATGTATACATTGTGGAGTGATAAAATTAGATGAATTGGCATATTCATCCCCTCAAATATTTCCTAAAGTTGTGTAAAACTTTTTGAATATCACAATTTTATGCATTCTTTTCAGCATCGCCCGAGAGGAAAAATTATTACTTAAAAAACTTTTTTGTAATGGAGTAGTTTTATAATTTGATTTCATGTTGTCTGGGAAATAAACAAATAAAAATCTTCAAAAATTAAAATTTCTCCTAAACACTGAGACTGACACAGAATTGGAAGTAGGAGGAGGCTAACACAATTAGGCCTTTGTAGTTACTTAGTTGTGCATCTCTTGGTTTAGTGTTTGTAGATGACAGACTCACACCCTTCTAAGTGAAGTATAGTTTGAAAGACAGCCTGGTGTGGTGGCTTGCGCCTGTAATACCAGCACTTTGGGAGGCGGGGGTGAGAGGATTATCTGAGCTCAGGGACTTGAGACCTGCCTGGGCAACTTGGCGAGACCTCGACTTTACAATAAATCAAAAAATTAGCTGGGCATGTTGATGTGGGTTCCAGCTATTTGGAAGGCTGAGGCAGAAGGACCGCCTGAGCTCAGTAGATCTGGGCTGCAGTGGCCATGATCGTGCCACTGCACTCCAGCCTGGGTGACAGTGAGTCTGCGACTCAAAAACAAATGAAAAACAAAAAAGGAAGAAAGATGAAACATAATTTAAGAAAATTGTTTTCTTATTATAAGAGTAATAGATACTGTGTCATATTATAAAGTGTTCATTCTGGAGACGTTGAAAATTTTTGAAAAATGTAAAGCTTGAGAAAAACCACCTAATCTCATATCCCAAAGATAGTTGGTTTGTTAAAACTTCTGGAGTATTTCCTTTTACACGTTTTCTCTTTATTTGCTTGCCGATTTATTTACATATATTTTCAAAATAGAGACCGCACTATTGGCATATTTTGTTTCTTGTTTATTGCACTTAATAGATTTTCCATGTTACTAAAATTCTTCAAAACCAATTAATTGTATGAATGTATATTTATTGGTTTAACATTTTCCTACTGTGGAACATTTAATTTTTTTATGGTTTTTTTGCTATTATAAAATCATGCTGTTAGGAGCATCTTCATACATAAATTATTATCATCACATTTGATTATTCCATTTGGAAAGGTTAGTTTAAAATATTTTATGTGTCAAAAAATAGTCTAACTTAATGATTACTAATTAGAATACTGTAGAAATTAAATTGTCATTAAGGTAAAGGTGTACTTAAAAATAGTAGAAGATCTGATCTTTAAGAGACGTCTTGTGTCCAAAGCAAAATTCAAAAAATTATTTTCTCCTCTTAAAAAAAGATCAATTTAAATAAGCATTTAAGACATTTCCACAGTGAAACTATTTTGCTGAATGGAGTACAGATACCATTGGGTGATTGGTATTTCGGTACCTAAAAGTCTCTTAAAGTAGGTTTTTTTTGTTGACAGATCTTGCATTTCTTACACCTGGTTATTATTTGTTTCTACCATGGTTCAGAAGAATAAATACTTTTTAAAATTACCTCTTGATATATACAATTTATGATTCCCTACTACCTAATCTGTCATATGCTCAATTTACTTTGTTTATCAGTCTTGAGGAAGCAAAGTATAGTGGAATAAACTCTAAATTGGGAATCAAGAGACCTGGGATGTAGTCCTATTCCTGTCTATGTGAGCATGAGAAGAATCATGTCACCTTTCTGGTTCTTTTTTGTTTACACAGCTACCATTGTCAAGTGGCAGCTGTTAGCAATAAGTTGAGATAGTTAAATCAATTTGCTATGTGAATTATTTTTCTTAGTCATATTTTACTTATAATGTTGAACATTTTTGTATCTTAATCAGATTTTTCCCTTGTCATGTAGATGATAACTTTTCTTTCATCTCAGGAAGTAGAAACAGAGCAATACTTCACTCTCTTTCTGCCAGCATTGAAGGAGCGTGGATATGATGGATTTTTTTCTCCAAAGTCACGTGCCAAAATCATGTCTGAGCAGGAGAGAAAGCATGTGGATGGTTGTGCAATATTCTTCAAAACAGAGAAGTAAGTTAAGGAAACAAAGCACAATAGTGTAATCTTATTTCTTTTCATTATCACACATTTAAAGTTGTGTTTGATTTAACCCTGTAAAATCACCAAAAAGCTAGAAAGCAAGTATCATGCAACTTAATGTTTTTAATGCTTTATTTCATAGGCTGTGTATTTGAAACAAGGATTATTTATTGTATTCTTTGTTTTTATTGCCAAATGAGCCTACAAATTTTAAGAGATATAGACTTGAATGGTTTTATAATTATATTGCAAAATTATTTTCATGAAGTACAATAATGGTTTTGATGTTTTTTAAAAAAAGAAAGCAGTCCTTTTAAAATTAGCAATAAAAGATCTGTGTTTCTTTCTGTGATTTTTTTAAAGTAGTTGATCATTTTTAGAATCATTCATTTTATCAACCTTTTATCTTTTTCAATTAGCATTGTATACATTTATTTAATCATTTATTCAGTGTTTGCTGAGCATGTATTTCCTTCGTGGTGAGTCCTGTGCTATGCACAACAGACACAAAGATAGACAAGATATAGTTCCTAATCTGACTGAAAGCTCAAGTGTAGTAGGAAAAGATAGGCATAAAGGAAAAGTACAATACCAAATGGTATATATAAGATAGAGATATGCATAAGTAAGAGAGGACAGAAGAGAGGCAAAGAGTTAAAGGATTGATTAAGACAGGGCAATGGAAAATTAAATGTGTGATGTCTGATAGTTGAATCCCACAGTTAATAATTTGGGGTTAATACATTAAGTAGGAAATCATCTACTAGTAAGATAAGCATATACATGCTTATGGCTATTTTCTAGTATTTTCCTGCTTAATATTTATTATAACAACACCAGATGGTGTTTTTATTGATACAGGTATATTACTAGCATGGCATGTTATTTTAAATAAACAAATTGAGTTAATTTTAAAGGTATTTTGTCCACTTCTTATTAACCTATGCCTGCTTTCTTTTCTCCATGAATTTTTAGTAGAGATATTCTCATTTTGGTTAATAATTAGTGCACAGTCCTGTAGTATTTAAAGTCAGAATATACGGAATTCTTTTAGTGATTTGGTAATTTTAAAATACACTTCAGAATAACAACTGCTACTAAATTATGAATCTGTTAACTATAGGGATATGTTCTGAGAAGTATATTGGTAGGTGATTTCATCATGTACTTACACAAATTTTGATGGTATAACCTACTGTATACCTAGGCTATAAAGAATGACCTATTGCTCTTAGGTTGCAAACCTGTACAGCATACTACTGTACTGAATACTGTAGGCAATTGTAACACAATGGTATGTGTGTATCTAAGCTATCTAAATGTAGAGATAGCAGCCTTTATGCTATGACCTTACAGCAGCTATAACATCACTAGGTGATAGGAATTTCTCTGCTCCAATATCTTACGGGACCACTGGGACCACTGTCATATATGCAGCCTGTCATTGACCAAAACATTGTTATGTGATGCATAAGTACTTCCAGTGCTTACCACATCAGGTCTTTTCTATATGGATGAATTGTCTTATTTAATTTCTTATTTTTTTTTTTTGAGTCGGGATCTCACTCTGTCACTCAGGCTGGAGTACAGTAGCACAATCACAGCTCACCACAGCCTTGACCTCCTGGGCTCAGGCGATCCTTCTGCCTTAGCCTCCCAAGTAGCTGAGACTACAGGTGTGTGACACCATGCCTGGCTAATTTTTTCATTTTTTATAGAGACAGGGTCTCACTATGTTACCCAGGCTGGTCTCAAATTCCTGGGCTCAAGCAATCCTCCTGCCTCAGCCTCCCAAAGTGCTGGGATTGCAGGCATGAGCCAGTATGCATGGCCATCTACTTAGTTTTTAAAGTAACCCTCAGAGGTAGGTATATGGCAATTTTAAAATTTCTGTAACTAAAGAAACCAAGACACAGAGTTACACAGAGTTTGATTTTATAGTCCATGCTTTTAACCACTGTAAACTGAATCTTTAAGGTTCTTGTTTGAGCTTCCAATATTACTTGTACTTCTAAAAGATTACCTCATTTGGAAAAACAGCCTTGAATTTGATATGTTTTCTATGTTCAGATACAAATTTCCTTGAAACACTGTAACGTAAAAAAATGTACGCAGCACATTGAGACATCTAGTGGCAAGCTCTTTTCCCATTTGCTATTGTTTATTTCAAGAAAATAAGGAAGATTTTCATCAGTCCTTATATGGTTTTGAGAAGAAAAATCTAAAATTCCTCGATAACTTACTAGAGGTAGTCATGGTTTTGAAATAATGGTTATAATTGTTATCTAGGAAACTTTAAACATTAAGTAGTTGCAGATTAATTCTTGAATTATTTGAAGTAATATGAACCAGTTAAGTAATGAGTATACAGGAAACAGATGCATCATGTTTTCTTCCCTGCCTCTTTTTTTCTTAATAGTAACATAGACCTGACAACAGATGATGACTTTGCATGTGATATATCATTATGTTATATCACCTCTGAACTTCCTTGTGGGAATGACAGAACTATACCTTTTGTAATAGAACAAAACCATCCTCTGTCCCAGTACTAGATATCTATCCAAGCCATATTAGCTATCTATTCAATGCCAAACTATTTGTAATTTAACACAAAGTAAACTACCCTGGCTTTATTCTTTCTTCGGGTTGGAGAGAGAATATAGTGCAAAGATAAGGCTATGAGTTTTGAAGCCAGGTGTTTCTCCTATTTGTTTAGCTATATAATCTTGAATGATTGACTTCCCCTTTCTGGACCAATTTTCTCATTTGTATATCCTTACCTCATAACATTATTTTTTGTTAGTTTACAAAACTAACAAAGTCAAAAGATAGCTGTAGAAGAGTACTTCATCTCTTTGTACTCGTTCTAAAATTAGTGTATCTGACAATTCCTAATCTTCATTGATAACAGTGGCACAGAATAGGTAGCAATAAATGGAAATAATTGCTATTTCTACCAAAATACCATAGTAAAAATCTCTTATCCATCATGATTAAAGGATGGAGTCTTGTTTAATAAAGACTAGGTCACAGGTTACCAATATTCCGAGAATTAGAATACAATACAATATTATTTAAATCATATTCTAGTTTTATTTAGTTTTGGGGGAGTCAGAAGCTACTTCAGAGTTTGGAAGCACCTTCTGTTCATTATTATGAATATCATTTTTTGATACTTAGATGTATGGAGATACTATAAAATAGAATTTCGATGATAAAATGCCAGAAGTCAACCTTTACTTTTGTCCTTTATTTTAGCAAGTATTATATACGGTCCAAAGCATTTTATAAAATTCATATATACATACATGTATGTATTTTATGTGTATGTAATGTGTATATGTAGGAATTGAATTATTATAGATAAAATTTTTAGATTCAGAATTAAAATTTTTTTTGCCATGTCTTATCCTATAGATGTAATCATTAGTAGAAATTGGGTCTTGAAGCCAGGTACACAACTTGAAGAAGTTCAAAGTAGGAAAAAAATGGAAATGAAAATAGACCTAGATACTAGACCAGATGTTCCTGAGGTTAGCAGTTCTGACCTTCTGATCATGTGTTATTTCAAATCAATAAGAAGGGAAAGATGAGGATAGCAGTTTAGAACAGTGTGACCATTACACTGTGAACAGGCAGCCTCTCGTCATAGGACTGGAAACTTAGGTTGTCATGGTACTTAGTTTTTGCTGTATTGTCTCTGTGTTCTAACTCACTTCCAGACTCTGAAGTACCAGATAAGGCCAAGTCCTTGCTTTTTTCTTCCCGTAATACTGCAGGTGGTTTTGTGCTTGGAAAGAGGGCAGTATTATTCCAAAGTGTTATAGTATCATTTCACAATGACCTATTTTGATACTTCCTTTCTTACTGGTCTCTAAGTTATTAATTTCCTATGGCATAGGTGGTGCTTGCATTTAGAATTTGTATATATTTTTTAATGAGATTTTAATTTCTAGCTTTTAATGCTAACTTTGCTATTAATTCAATCTGGATCATAAAATAATGGCATTGTGTTACAGTTTCAAATCTCCATACCTTTCAAATGTGGATAATAACTTCCGTTTAATTTCAGAAGTTTCGTATAGGGCTAAAATTATACAGAATGTGGACCTGCTTTCAGTGGTTAAAATAGTTGTACAAAGACAGGATGATATTTATCTGCTTTTCTTCCTTGTTTATCGTTTCCTTGCTGCCCTTTTCTAATTAGTTATTTTCTGATACTCCTATGATTACTTAAAGGGACCTAAGGACACATTTTATAGAATTTTATACTGAATATACAGTAAGAAATTCTATTTCGTTTTGGTTTTTTTGTTGTTGTTGTTGTTTGAGTTACAGTCTCACTCGGTCGCCCAGACTGGAGTGCAGTGGCTGCTCCCGGCCACCGCAGCCTCGCCTGCTGGGCTCCGGCGATCCTTCCACCTTAGCCTTCCGAGTGGCCGGAATTACAGGCATGTGCTACCACGCCCGGCTGATTTTTTAATTTACTGTAGAGATGAAATCTCGCTGCCCAGGCGGGTCTCGAACCCGCGGGTTCAGGCAATCCACTCACCTCAGCCTCCCAAAAGCACGGGATTACAAGCTGAGCCACCGAGCCCGGCTTGGTTTTGTTTCAAAAGTGCTGTGATGTGATCCAGAATGGGCCAGAGTTAAATTTTTGTGATTATACTATCTTCTTGACTGTGCACTACTTTGTTCTTTTTTACTTATAAATGAGTTCAGGAAGGGAATATTACTTAAGCCCTATGGAGTGTTTTTGTTTCTCATACTTGGCATTCACTGTCCTCTTTCTAGCATTAATGTAATTACATCATAGCCCATAAAATTACTTTTGGTCTACAAGTTGGTAATAAATTGAGTTATGTCTTTGTTTGAAGAACATGTTTTGGACATGTACTTTCTGCATATTAAGCATTTATCCTAACAATCTTTCTCAAATCATATAAGAAGATTTTTTTTCTTTTTTTGATTGTAACAGTCTTTATGTA